AGCTGCATTGCTTGGTAAGTTTTTCTTTGCAGAATCTGGGGCTGACAGTGATTCTGAGTTGCATTGTTTTCCTTGGGTGCTGTTCACTGCAGAGCACAAATCCCTTTTTATTGTGTGTTTTTTTTTGGGGGGGGTGTTAGGGGATTATACCAGACATGTCTATTTTGCAGCCATCCCAAGATTTTGCCTTTACAGACTGCAATCCTATATAGACATATCTGGGTGCAAGTCCAGTCCAACTCATCTTCAGTTCACATACCATTTATGACTCTAAACCAAGATAACCTTTCAACTCTTGAATAGCAACCACTTGAATTACGGCTGCATGGCGTTTGTGAGGCTGCCTTGAAAATGATCTAGAAACTTCAGCTGACCCAAAATGGGGCTGCAAGGTTATTAACAGGGACTTGCTGATAATGGATTAGCATAGCAATGCAGTGATAGAAAGATGGTAGTATAATATTCTTTTATTGAGCATTAGAACACTCTCTAGGGACGCGGGTGGCGCTGTGGGTAAAAGCCTCAGCGCCTAGGGCTTGCTGATCGAAAGGTCGGCGGTTCGAATCCCCGCGGCGGGGTGAGCTCCCGTTGCTCGGTCCCAGCGCCTGCCAACCTAGCAGTTCAAAAGCACCCCCAGGTGCAAGTAGATAAATAGGGACCGCTTACTAGCGGGAAGGTAAACGGCATTTCCGTGTGCGGCTCTGGCTCGCCAGAGTAGCGATGTCACGCTGGCCACATGACCCGGAAGTGTCTCCGGACAGCGCTGGCCCCCGGCCTCTTGAGTGAGATGGGCGCACAACCCTAGAGTCTGTCAAGACTGGCCCGTATGGGCAGGGGTACCTTTACCTTTACTAGAACACTCTCTTGGTCTGATAGCTTGGCTGAATGACATGACTGGGCCGTACTGAACATTAATAATAATAATTCCGAACATGAGTTTACATAGGAATCAACCCGAGAAATGGTTTTGTTGTTTGGGGAAATAAACCTGTGTTTTGAAAGTTGTGCTGGACACCGGCAATTTGTCTTCATGCATTTGATTTCTCCTTCTTCTCTTCCTCCTCCTCCTCCTTTTTGGCACGTTAGGTGCTCAAGTGACAATCACAGACAGGAAGGCCGCCTTGGCTCTACTGGAGTCAAACGTCCAAGCTAATTTACCTGCTGACATCCGGCCAAGGACAGCAGTAAAGGAACTGACTTGGGGCCGAGACTTGGGGAGCTTCTCTTCAGGAGGATATGACTTTATCTTGGGAGCAGACATCGTTTACCTGGAAGAAACGTTTGCCGATCTTCTTGAAACGTTGGACCATCTCTGCTCTGAACAGACGGTGATCCTACTATCATGCCGCCTCCGTTATGAGCGAGACCACAAGTTCCTGAAGATGTTGGAGGAGCGGTTTTCAGTATACGAGGTGCACTATGACCCTGGTAACGATGTGCATATATTCAGAGCACAGAGGAAAGCCCAGAAAGCAGATCTGTGATTAGTTTGTGAACTATTGTATGCTCATTCCTGCCACTTGCAATCATACCTGGTCCAAACAACTGAATTTAGGCCAATCATCCAGCCATCCCTCCTGTTTTTTCCCATCCCGATCATGGTAACTCAGATAATCCAACCAAATTATAAATGGACCAATGAATTATTAGTGTGCAAGGGCCAAGCCTGCCATTGAGGAAACGTAGGACCTGCTGGCTTCAAGTAAATGGAAAAATCCAATTAGATTAATAATAGTGACAGTTTACCTCTGTTTCCAACTGGTGTTAAGCTATGCTGCTCAGAACTACATCTCAGGGCACTTCCCCCAATGGAACAGCAAATATGAATTATGCAGTGCATTGGGGGGTGGGGATGTGATATCCACAAGGAAATATTTGGCTATATTATGTAAAAACAAACCAGTTTTACTGTTTGTGTGCTTAGAGAGAATGGCTCAGTTAGCAATTTTCTATCATGCTAACTGGAACAATGATCAATCATGCAATAGGGAAATAATATACCAAAACATAAGGGGAGTTATTGATTTGCATTCCTAATAGAATGTTTAAATTCTTCTAGATATTTCGCATGAAACTAATTAGTCTAACATCATTCATTCATTATTATTTAGAGTTGCCTAGTTCCTTAGAAATTCACTCTGTAATATGTTCACAAATATGCTTCATTAGTTGTTTTTCAATAATCAAGTTTGTAATTTATAATTCATCAGTGCGCATTCAAGCTGTCCAGTAATTTTATTTATCAAGTCTAAAGATGATACAAATCTGTGCTTATTCTCTTAAGTGGATCCCTACTATTTTATCGAAAAGTAAAATTGTAATACATTAGTTAAGTAAATCACTAATCTACATTTAATAAAGTTTCCCCTCTGCTAATTCAAATCTGCCAATGTAGAATCAGAACCACCCCCAATCTAGCATCAGTTATTATCAGTATGCAAGTCCAAATACAGTAAAAACCGTGATATCATAAGCCAGAAGTCAACTAATAACTCAAGTCTTTTTCAAACGTAATTTCAAGGTCATCAAGTACGTATACAGTAAGATCTTCTTTGAATAGTTTTTTTAATGTCCAGAAAGTCTATGGGTGTCTATATCCAAATAAAGTTCTGTTCCCAGTAAACTTATCTGTGTCCACAATTAGATTCACACACATATATATAACATGTAAGTTTGTCTTATATTAAAGTTTGCCTCGAAATTTGGAATTAGTTAAGGTGTAATTTAAAGTCGCAATGCTTTCTGTTGCAATTAAAAAAATAGATCCTTCTCTCAAAAGCTTTCCATGAGATTAGATTTACTCCTGAAATTATCAAAAGAAAAAGATGAATCCATTTCTTTCCCAAACATCATGTGATGAAGAGAGCGGAAAGTGAGTGTGCCGTCCATTGTCTATCATCCCAATTGGAAAGTGATCTTATCAATAAGGTGCACTATCTGCTTAGTGACTTGTAAAATTCTGGTGCAAAGTTCCAGTATTCTTACTCTCACGTGGAAGAAGTTCTTACAGATAAGTTGTTACTGCCTGATAGAGTAATACTTGATAGTTGTAAATCATTCCACAGAAGTAGAAAGTCAATAAAAATGTTTGATGTTTTGCAAAGAAATGTCCCATGTTTGGTTAGTTTTTCAACAGAAGGATACAACCAGGCAGGTGTACTCAAGAGGTAATCTCACGTGACTTCTGAATCTGAACTCCTCCACTTAAACATGCCTCCAGAGTGAGTTGCCAGATTCCATCCCGATCAGCAGAGTGCAACTTCTAACCAGAAAGCCAGAATTTTCACAATTGTGTTGTGGTCCCTTGGAGTGGATCCCAAGTACTGTGAGCAAACTGAAAAGAGCTGCATGTGCAGTGGGAGCAGAAGAGCAATTCTCTAGTTGGGAGGTTCTGCAGCAGTCCTCGTGCTTCCGCGTGCAGCAGTAGAAGAGAACATTTGGACCAAAATCATCCAAGAGGCACAAGAGTGTCCCTAGCTGAACACAAAACAACTCCCGTCTTGCATGTAACAGGATGCTTTTGGACTCCCAAAACTTCCTAAAAAGTGCAAAGCACAATCTTGAAATCAACTGCAAATGTAACAAGGGTGAACAAATCTTTAAAGATCTACACAATCTCATTTTTAAGCTGCACCATTCTTTGGTTCCTACGGTTCAGGCACTAGGTAAAGGGACCCCGGACCATTAAGTCCAGTCATGGACGACTCTGGGGTTGCAGCACTCATCTCACTTTATTGGCCGAGGGAGCTGACGTTTGTCCGCAGACAGCTTCCGGGTCATGTGGCCAGCATGACGAAGCCGCTTCTGGTGAACCAGAGCTGCGCACGGAAACACTTTACCTTCCCGCTGGAGTGGTACCTATTTATCTACTTGCACTTTGACGTGCTTTCGAACTGCTAGGTTGGCAGGAGCAGGGACCAAGCAACGGGAGCTCACCCTGCTGCGGGGATTCAAACCGCCGACCTTCTGATCGGCAAGCCCTGGACTCTGTGGTTTATACCACAGTGCCACCCGTGTCCTATTCGGTTCAGGCACTACCTAACAGCAATAAAAGCAGCTGTTAAAAGTAACTGAATGTTTTTTTGAAAGAGCTCTTTCTGGGATGTAGAACTGAATCAGTTCACAAATTCGGTCTTCAGCTTTCCCAGCCTAAGTAAATCCATTCCATCGCAACCTGTAACCTGTGGAGCACTTTTGTGCTGTAGGATTCGACAGTCCATCCTAGGGCACATGCAGTTTGAGCTGGATCTAAGGTTGAGCAGAGCACGTGCTGAAAAACCCTAATGACCTGCCCCACCCCACCCTGGCAGAGACAATAAGCATCTACCCCTGGAAGCTTGTGTAGAATCGTAGAATCAGAAGGGACCTCCAGGATCATCTAGTCCAACCACCTGCAACGCAGGAATATGCAGCCGTCCCTTTATGCGGGGAAAAGCCTGCAACCTTGGCATTATCAGTGCCATTCTGAGGGAAGTGGCACAAGCGATCTGTGCTATTATTCTGATGCAAAATGTGGAGCTGGGAGGTTAGGAGGGGCCGTTGCTATGGTTTCTACAAATTTCTTCAGCCCAGCCTCCCCATTTCCTAGTCAAAGGAGCAGCTCCCTCCCCCATTTCTTCCTTCCCGTTAATAATGAAAGGTAACATCATTTTTGTGGGTGTGCCAGGAACATGAATGGGAATTAGATGTGGCACTTTTGTGCCCATCTCTACCATTCCCCATGTCCCCTTGGGCCCCTGGTACATCTATATTAAGGAAGTTTCCCACAGATGTTCTGAAGTACATCTGGTGGCATAAACCCTCCTGCTAGTATATCTGTCTTTGCCCCCAAAGCAGCCCTTAGGCTGCATCCTAGGGTCCCTCGCCAGAAAGTATACATATGATTGGGCCCTCAGAACATTTCTATTTTACTGTTTTATGTGGTCAAGCAGCAAGTATTGCTGATGTCAACGGCATCAAGATATATGACCCTCCTTCTCTGAAGAAAAGAGACTTCAAAATGATTTTAAAAGCATGTTTATGTGTCTGCACATAAATGTGTAAAAAGGGTGTTATGACAGTTTATACCACAAACTTTACAGTAAGAAAAAGCACTTTTATGACAATTCACAAATTCACAAGGATCACTTTAATATACAAAGCAATTACTAGCATTCTGAAACACAAAGCAGTTAGTATGTACACAATGTTAATAAAAAGCAGTGTAACTCAGTACGTGGGGTGGGGGGAATAAACGCACAAAACAATAATTACAAAATTAAAACAGGGGTGTTTCTAGGAAATAGAGGATTCTCAAAATGAAATTAACCCACCCCCAGTTCATATTTCTTTGCTCAGCAATTTAATTTCAAGAGGAAACTTTTTTCAAAGTTCAATACCCTGTTTTGTGCTGATTGTTTTGGGTGAAGAATCAGAAATGGGGGTGAATTTTAGTTTCTCTTAAATAAAAATAGCATAGCCATCCCCATTCCAGAAACTTGAAATTTTGCATTGTGATTTCTTCATGTGTAAACTGCCTTCCAAACCTAACGAAGGAGCTTTAGAGAAGGTGCTTCACTTGCGCAACTTTCTCTCTGTGTGTTCTTGCAAGCAGAATGGTCATACATAAAGTAGTAGGGTTGTAAATAGAACTGAAGGTCTAGCATTTAGTTTCTTCTTATTTCAAAACAGAAATAATTCTATTACACAGATATGGAGTGGTATCTGGCTCAAGTGCAACCGGTAGAAAACATTTTAAAAACAATCTCCCAATTATTTATCATGACCTTATTGAATACCATCAAACTGTTTTAGGTCTCCTCTCCTCTTTCTTCCTGCCTCAGATTGTCCATCAAATCAATATGCGGCCACGGCTCAAGTGACTGACTGATACAGTAGTATCTTGCTTAGAATGATACAGCCAATGGTTGTTTTTAAATCTGCACCAATCTCTAACTTGATTCCATTATCAACAGGTCAATCAGGAGGAGAAATTCAAGTGAGGAGAACCTCCAGATAATTAGAGAGGTTTGATGTGCCTTAGGTTCAATGTGAGGCTAAGAGGCCACATGTAAACAATACAGCATAGTTATTGTGGTAGGCAGTGGCGACTGGGTCATATTCAGAAAGCGCTGCAAAAGAATGGCAACCATAGGACCTCGGTGCTTAATTTTTGCAGCCACGTATCCATAAATTAACGAGCTAAATCCCAGCGTAGTTGTTCTCGGTTGCCTCATTACACTGGGGTAAGCTACCCATCCCCTTGACACCAAGCATCTTGGAAATAAATGCTGCATTGGTGAAAACGTACGTGTGCGCACAAACCCTGAGAAAGTGAGTGAAAGGGTACAGTAAGATGCGGTGAGATTCCTCGCAGGTATAAGCAAGGATAAGCAGGATTCAAAATAACAATCCTGAACAAACCCTCATCATTTTTGACTCTGTAAACATGACTTTAAAATGTACGACCGCTCACTTCAAGCTAGCAGGGACCTGCATTTGCAGTACCAAAAATAATTTGTGCTATTAAAAAAAAAAGCCTGTCCGTTCACCTACAACTATGGTTTACATACATTTCAAGATTCCAATGTTTCAGGATGCAAATATATCAGAATGAAATATTTGGGATTGCATTCCGATATGCCGTCTACCGATTTCTCATCTTGCAGTGAAGCCATGCAATAATTCTTAAGCTATAGTCAGCATGGAAGATGAACGTATCACAAGACAGTGCACTGCTAAAATTTCAGCACCATATATTTAACAGTTCCAAGCTGGCTGTGCTTCTCAATGTGCTCAGAACAGAGGTTGGTGTACTTTATATCTAGAAAATTTAGAAGACTTGATAAAATCTATCCACAGGCATAAAGTATGCAACCATGGGTTTATAGCATATAAAAATAAACCCATTTTAAGAGTCTTTAACTTTACATCAACTCATCTTAATTGCCAGCAGGAAATACTCAGGAGTTGTGCTTTCTGATAAATCTGGGTGTGTTATGTAGCTTCACTCTTTAAGGAAAACAAATCCATGCATCTTACATTTTTTTCATCTGGACTCTATCCTTGAAATGTTCAGTTCTATTCACAAACTAGAAAATGAATTTAGCATCACCAAAATTTAGCTTCCCCTTTTCTCATATGATTGTTCCAATAATTAAATACAACCCTCTGCCACATTTCTAATGTCATTAAAAGGACTGTAATCTTCCTAACTTCCACTGGACTGTAGATTTTTGGTCCTGCCCTGCAGATCCCCCCGCAAGAATTGCCTCTTTTAAAGTTTATCCTGAGAGTCAGTGGATTAGCTAAAAGTAATGAGATACATACAAATAGCAGGACCACAATAAATATGCTAGACGCTCTTCAGATTAAGAGCCAAGCTGCATGATCAATACCCTCAAAGGCAAAATTTGAACTGTACTGCCACTTCACACTACAGATGGCAATTGAAATGTTTGCCCAAACATTAAAAACTAATATGTCAGTGGAAGGCTATAGTATACCCTTCTCCATAACACTAGTTTCTTTATGGGCAGGATTTTTAAAAATACATGTGGGAGCACAATCAAACATTCAATCTCCACCTGAAGCATGTAGTTGTACATTCTAGCCTTCAACAGCACCCAAGGCTACAGGTCATGTATTTGAGCTCATTACCAAAACTGATTTTGGTCATACCACAAAAGTTCTCACCTTACTGGGAATTATTTAGCTTCAGATAATTGTTTCTGAAATAGAGACACTATAGAACCACCAGGCTTGTTTATAGACGGATGTGTGCTTTCACACTCAAGCAATGCTGGAATAAGATACTAGAAACCACACAAAAGCAAGAAAACTGGAAAAATATTTTTCTCACAAAAAAAAGGGGGTGGGTGGGTCATTAGTTCCCTTTGTATAAAGCAAATCTTTTCCTTTTATTTTATTTTTTTGCCTTAATGTATAGCTGCCGAAGAGACAAAGCACAAGGTGAACAATCTGGGGGAAGAGAGGAGCTTAAAACGGCTGACATAATTCCATAATTCACTTTCTAAAAAAATACAAATTGCAGTGAAATAAAATCACTAAATATGGGTGAGTGAACAACAATACAACATATCAATAAGCGCCAGAAGAATGTAGCTCAAACAAGAGGCTGAAGCGTGTATATTAACACGCATGCACATTCTCTCTCTCACACACACAGAGTAAAACTTTTTTCTGACCTCAATATACTATAATACTCAGCATTCCTGACTTAAAAGCTCTCAGAGCTATAGATTATATACTGTGTATATATATTTTATATATGTACATATTTTATACATACGCATTTTCCAAGAATATCTGTTAGAAGAGCACCCTGGGCAATATTTCAATTGCCTACATGGTACCTTTTATTTTGTAAAAGATAGAAACTGTACTTGAAACCAGACCTATGTATGATGACTACAATGGAGCTAGCCCTTTCTACACCTTTTTTTTCCCAATTAAGCCTGGCAACCAACTTAGTATTTTAGCAAAATTTCTGTTGAGCAGCAAAGGGGCCAAATGCAAAACAACCAGGTAAGACAATCTTGCTGTTTGTTCAATAAATTAGCAATATACAAAATAAGGGTTTGCTTGTTTTTCGCATTCTCTTCAGTTCCTTTTGGCTGTCAAGAATTACAAAGGACATACCAGTAAAGTCTGAACTTGGGTTACCGAAAACATAAGAAATAGGAAATTGTTTTATTTCATAAGAAATGCCAGATATCTCGGTATTGGGTAAGTAAAAACTGACAGATGTTATTTTATTGCTGGTGAAAGATTCCAGAATGAAAACCCTGAATTGACCTATAGACGAGCCACACTAGATTCTGCAAGCGGTTCATGTTGAGCCTCCTTTGACCGAATGGAACCTGGGAAAGGCTGAAATTAAGCGTAGGGTCAGCCCCACCACAACCCATTTGTCTGCTGAGCTCTCTTGCTGAAATGCAACTCTCTCAGCTAATTGCAGGAGATGCCAAGAACACAGCAAGCAGAGAGTTTTGGTGGTTGCTTTCCTGATGAACGAATTTTAGATTATTACATAATGTTTAAACAGATTACCTGACACATCCACAGCCAGCTTTGAAAGAGGCTTACTCAAACCAAGATCAACACATACAATGGTTTTCAATGAGGTTAGCAATTCGAGAAAATCAGCAGAGATCATGATTCTACCAAAATTTCGGGGGGTGAGGGGAACAAACCTCACAAGGCAGGTAAAAATTGTGGATCTGAGTTCTCCATAATCTATCATCCCGTTTCTTTGTAGGAATCTGCTTTTGTTTTTTTAAAAAAATATATTATGATGTGAGAATTAAAGGGTTTCTAAAATGGCAGAACTTATTTTTGTTCAGAATGTCTGTATTATTTTATCCAATAGCAGGAGGAAAAGTTTGCCTTGCAAATAAAAATAAGCTGCTTAAAATATGAGGCTTTTTATATTCTTTAATTCTAAAGATTTTGTGACATGCCTTACAAACAAATTTTGTCTTCATCTGATAAAAGGGTAAATTATAAAGATTTGCACTTATTTTCATAAAAAACAAATGCACTATTAAGTAAAATTACTAGCTAAATTATAGCTACAGGTGTTGGATTTAATTGATAAAACATTGCAATAGGCCATGTTGGTTTTATCACCTTTAAGAAGATCTGAGAACTAATATTCTTTCAGGAGCAGTCTTATTTTATGTGCAGGCTTTTATTGATGAGGTGAGGATCAAAATAACTGCTGGGATTAGAGATTCAAAATAACTTCATGTTCTCTTAAATAAGTCCATTTTGCCTCTGGAGAACTGATTCCACCTTAAGTAGCCAAAGTAGCTTGAACAAAGGAATTTCTAATGTTGAACGGCTTATTTGCTGCCTTAAATCATATTATACTGATTAATCACATTACTGATTCCTGCAACACACCTTAGGGGAAGTTTTTTTCTTTTTACTCCTTAGGGTTTGAATGTCTGCAGATGAGAAACTTTCACTTAGATTCAGCTAGATCCCTAAATGACACAGAGTCCTACTGAAATCAGATAGCTTAACTGGGATGCAGGTCTGGCTGATGACTTAGGTTCAACAAGTCAGCAAAGTTCAATTTCACACCATCTGTGTGCACAATAGGGAGATTTAGGGGGGGAAAATTCTCTACCTGCACGAAAAAGTTAACATTCACTCCTATCTTCACTAAAGTATGCACTGCTAGCGGTTGCCTTGTATAACATCGCCTCTGGATAATGCAAAACAAAAATGGTGTTTTAATGAATTATTCTTTATGATAATCTCATGGACTTCTAAGCTAAAGCAGAACGTTACCGTTCCTGCTCTACTGCTTGCTAGGAGTCCATGTCCCCTTAGGATATCATAAGCGTTAGATGATTTCTTTACGGGCAATCAAAAGACTGAACACATGAACTCTCCTTTTTTTATATAAAAAAACCAGGAAATCAATGGAATCATCTTTTATCATATAGAAAACTATCTAAAAAACAGATGGAGGTTACAGGTGACTATCCCACCTTCTCCCCAACCCTTCTCTATATGCTCATTTAATTCCTACTGTGTACATACCTACATACCTGAAGTACATGTCTTTTGGCATCATTCTACCACGTAGCTGCAACTGTAATGTTTGATAATGGAGGTTTGAAACCATGCAACAATTTGGCAACCACAGCTTCCTCAGAGCATACCTTGGGTACGCATCCAGCCCACATAATACTTCAGGGCAGAGCCTCAGGATAACCATCTCTGAGGGATTCAGACGAGCTCTGTGTTTTAATTCTTGAAAGCATTATGAAATAAACCCCTCTGCGCGCGCACACAAAAAAGTGAACGTTATTATTCCTTGAAGAAGATGGGAGATGAGGAAGTCTCTTCTCTTTCTTCTCAACCAGGATGCAGCGTGGTGAAAATAATTCGGGGGAAGGGAGAGGGAAGGTGGGGGAGAAGTGGAGGCAGGTGTTTCAACATTCACAGTTTAATGCAAAGCACAGACGGATAAAATTCTGCAGTTGCTTTCAGGCAGTTTTGCGCGTAGAAAAAAAAAAGAGAGAGAAATGTTTAGAAAATAAAAAGTCCACTTTGTCTTTCTGGCAGTCACCAAAGCAGTCTTTCTCTGACATTAACAAACCAAAAATGGGGATCTAAAATTAATCCGATTTGTGGCAATAAAGGTCCTTAAGTGCTTTTAGCTCTTCAATCAATGTCTTGTTTTGGTTTTCAAGCACAGCCACTCTGTTTTCTAGACATTTGACATATTCTTTTTTCTTCCTGCGGCACTCGCGTGCTGCTTCCCTGTAGGCAAAACAGAATATTAAAGCTCAAGTCAATATGTTCACTGATTTTAAACTGATAAAACTGAGGCAGAACTAACTGAATAGCATAATATTTTTTGTTTGTTTGGGAGTAGAATAAACACAATTATTCTTTACGGACAGGTGAGCAACAGGCTTCCTTGTGGCAGTGGCAAATCACTATTGCTTGCCTAACGTATCAGGAACCTTCTGAAGCAATGGGAGGTAATTTCACATATGCCATTCAACTGTATGGTATGTATATTTTGCATTTGATGTTATTTTCCCTTTTTGCATGGACTCTGGCTTAAATTCAAATTGTTGGTAAATTGTAAGGAATATTTGCATTTGGTGTTATTTTCCTTTTTGGACTGATTTTTTAGCTAGGTAATTTTGGGGTGTGGTGAGAGGAGGAAGGTACTACACACCACAACTTTTCTTGCCCTTCATGCTGAGGGATACAGTGTGTATTGAAGCTACCCTTAGGAGCCACATTTTTGCTTATTTTATTTTTCAGGCACAGCCAAATTTCTGCCACACCCTCCGTTCCACCTGGTAACAAATCCTTTGGCAGGATTGTGGGGGGCCGGGTCTGCTGGTCCACCTCAGTCCTCCAGAGCACACAAACCTGTTCTTCATTAGGCGGACTTCTCTCTTCCGCGCTGCTTCCTCTGCTGGCTGGGTGGGAAGTGCTGGGGAGGATGCCATCACGACACCAGGTGCAATGGTGCTTGTAGGTGCTGTGCGAATTTGGTAGGTCTGGACATCTCCTGAGGCAGCTAAGAGGGGGAAAAAAGCATCAGGGAATGCAGGGGTATTAGGTCTGACAGCTCTGGAAGCCTACACTGGGGGGGACGGGGACCTGTCATTTCAAACGAAGAACCTCTCCCCGCATTACCTGAAGCTGCACGGTTGATGACACCTTTGTGTTGCTTCCGTGCTGTGCTGCAAATGTGTAAAGCTTCTGCCTGTGTGGCTGGGCTAAATGTACATATTTACGTAACATGTTCATGATGCGTCTGCCTCTTTCTCCCCATCTTACTTGCCTCTGTTGCTTTGCTCATCCCTGCCCGTTCTTACTTTCTGATCCTGTTTCATATGGCCTCTTCGCACCCTAGCTCTCTCTTCTACTTCTCTAGCCCAGACCCTTCTCCAGTTCAATAGATCACACCCCACTTCCAGGCTGCCGGCACTGCTTCTTCCACAGGGCTCCTCCTGACTGTTCACGATCAGTGGCATAGCGTGGGTTGTCAGCACCCGGGGCAAGGCAAGTAATTTGCGCCCCCTAACCCGTGGAGCCAGGTAGGGGCAGAGAGCTGCGAGTGCGAGCGCGCCCCCCCCCAGATGTTGTGCCCGGTGCGGCCGGCCCCCCCTGCACCCCCCACGCTACGCCACTGTTCACGATCAACCCTTTCCCAGTCTCCACCATCCCTATCTGCAGCCATTGCTACTGCTCCTCCTACCCAGAACCTTTGTCAAATTATAGGCTTCTGCCGCGCACAGCTGTTTCCTCCTGTGTTTCTCCCTGACTCCTTATTTCCCACATATTATTCTTCAAAGCCATTGCTCTTTTTTTCATCAGGCTTGGCCAGGCACATAATTGTTTTTGTGTGGGTTAGTGAACAGTCATGTTCAATTAAACTTAAAAGTAACCCTAGGGACTTTCAAGGAGCAAGAAGAGTAAACTCTAGTTTGGGCACCCCCACCTAACAAATTAGCTTTTGGATAGCTCTTTGCTCCAAAAGTAAATAATGTCCCCACCTTTGATAGGTTACTGTTGCCAAAGATTACTTGGCAGCACCAGAAACAAAACCTTGAAGGAAGGACACTTTTAAAAAACCCAAAAACAAAACTATGCTATTGTCTAGCTATTAGCATTCAGAATTCTGGCCCATTACTAACTACTTTAGTCTATTGCCCACTATTGCTAGAACAGCAGAGTGTATTGCAGCTTCCTTAGAAACAGGTACAGTGGTGCCCCGCAAGACGAATGCCTCGCAAGACGGAAAACCCGCTAGACGAAAGGGTTTTCCGTTTCTGAGTTGCTTCGCAAGACGATTTTCCCTATGGGCTTGCTTCGCAAGACGAAACGTCTTGCTAGTCTTGTGTTTTTTTCCCTCGCTTCCCCCCCCTTTTTTCTAAGCCGCTAAGCCGCTAATAGCCTTTTAGCAGCTTAGCCGCTAAGCCGCTAATAGCGCTAATCCGCTAATAGGGTTGCTTCGCAAGACGAAAAAACCGCTAGACGAAGAGAATCGCGGAACGGATTCTTTTCGTCTTGCGAGGCACCACTGTATTTGCTTAAAAGTATGGTGCTTCACAAATATTACATGTGTACAGTGATTCCCTATGGGGGGGAAAATTCCACACACGGCATGTATCTAGTGCTAAACTTGAGCAAATTGCTTAAAACTGCTCTTCTTTACCTTGTACAACAACTTGGTTGCTGGGCACGAGAATCTGCTGTCCATCCGTGGTCTGTGCATACTGTAAAATGGTGGTACCAGGCTGGGTTGCAGCGGCATTGGTCATGGTGAGCGTCTGCAGGCCTTGGACTCCATCGGTGCCATTATTAGCCAGCTGGATTGCACCTCCCTGGGTGATGGCAACTGAAAGCAGGCAGAAGCGAGTCAGCATATGAGAATATTGACCTCCTCAGTGCCATACACACAACTGTCCTCAGTCCTTTAGTCAAACCAACAATTGAGAATTAAGTCCGTTTCAAGACTCTTGTTTTTTATGGATGTGGCGCCATTACCGTTGTCAATCCAGGGTGATACTGCCCTGAGACTGAAACCCCAGCAGCTGGGACTGCAATCACCACACAGGCCAATGTTAAAAAACTGTCATCAACTTGCCAGTTATGTTTCTGTTCCTTGCAACCATGGGTTTTTTTTTAAACAACCTAATTTAGATAATAATTTCCTCCTGCAGAGTGAAAATATCTACTTTATGGGCAAAATAAATATTTACAACTTACATTTCAAGAGTAACAATGAGACCCTCTAAATATTGATCTTGGTGATCATGAGGTATTTACTATGTGAGATTTTCAGTAATATGAAAAAATGTGTAGGTCAACAGAATATTAGTTACAAATAACGAATGACATAAAGCTCATCAAAGTTATCAATCTACTTCTGACATGCCTCTATCAAGCTCTGCCCATTCTAATGTTTAAGGTTTTTTGTTTTTTCGTTTTGTTTCCCCCTCTTCTCTACCCTGCACGGTTAGGCTTTAATCTACACCCTTTTCTCAGATCTCCATTCTAGCATTCCTCCGTCTCTTTATCTCAGTTCCTTTTCGTTCTTCACATACAGTTCCTCTTCTGGTTTTTATTTCATGAGTCTATTCTCTTTCATGAAGTCCCTCGGTCTGTTCCACCTCATCCAGACGGAAGCACAAATACCGTTCACACACGGTCCCCTCATTCAGCGCTTCTAGCACAAGGCTCCTCAGCTCCTCCACATTTACACCAGTCCATTCATGCAGACAATACCTGCATGCAGAGCATTGCCATATTGATGGTTGGTATCAGCAACACCAGTCCCTAAAAGAAAACCAGGACCACACTGGGGACCAGGGCAAAAAACAGTTGCAAGAACCATGCTCTTCATCTGCCCCACCCCCCCAACTCCAGCCCTGAAAGTTTACTGAGTAAGGACAATCCACATGGCAATGCTTCTCACATGAAAACTGCAACTGGAACATGGAAGCATGCTTGCATGCAATAGCTACTGCAAAGCAGTGATCACAGAACCAGCGTCAATAGGAGTTAAAAGTGGAATGCAATCACCTTATCACTTGATAAACTACCACCTCAACTGCTTGAGTCAGCTCGTCCTTCGTAGTCATAATGGCACAAGGTGGCACGGTATCCCACACTTAGGAAGTAGGACAAAGCTATTCTATGTACGGGCAACCCTCCCTACCCGCCAATAATATACCTTCAGCTAGGACAAGTGACGGGTGTTTGGGCTGAAAAAAAGACCTTCAGAATTGTATATAAACAGACTTTGTTGGCTGTGCTCACTTCAAATTGTGTGCTGCTCAAGAAACCCCCTGTTCTACCCATCCATTGCATCAAGGAAGTGTTGTTTATTTTGCCAGATCAGGAAGCTGGCCTTTGGTGAAAGTAGGAACCTTTGCATCCAAAGGGCACTTTTTCCCCCCAGGGGGAACTCACAGGAACTCAGTCCCGGCGCCTCTCAGGTGGGTTCCAGCACCTCTCAGGTAGGCGCCGTTGCCATTTTAAGAGAACGAGGAAGGTGCTCATGGCGAGTTCTCTTTTTCTAGAAAAATAGCACTGTGTCCTGTCTGTATTACCTTTTGGCCTCTTCCCACGTATTTCCTGTTTCTCTCCTTCCAGCATTTCTGACACCACAATTTCAAAACTTGGGAGTGGCAAACGTGGGGCTTCACGTTTTGAGCACTTGGGAAAAATTCATAATATAAATACTAAGCATTCTTGCCATCTTTTAAAAACCAAATCTCTGAAGTATTCTGCCTCTCCACTTATCAGATGAGAAACACAAGCAACATACTGTATTGCCCACTGCTTGTCTGGTAAATTGGAGTTGGCACCGTGACAGTCGTGATGGCAGGTGCTGTTGCTTCCTCTTCAGACTTTTCTTCTTCAATCCGTGGCACTCCTGGAGCATCTGACGACAAGTCGTTCAAGATTTTTCTGAAAAGGGAAGAATATTGTAGAAATCTCACCAGGTTCTCGTAGCTTCTGTATTTTTGGGCAGGAGAATTGGTATAACTGGAAGGGCAGGGACAGAATGCCCAGGCTGTCACACTGGCAGGATAAGAACCTAAGGAAAGCCTGGCTGGATCAGACAGAGGGCACATCCATTCCAGTATCCTGTTCCCTATGGTGGTTAGCTAGGAGCATGAAGCCTCATCTGCCATTTGCTCCTATAGCAACAGGTATGCAGATGTGAAATGCCTTTGAATATGGCTCTTACTTTCTCAGCAGGACTTGACCTATGGATACCCAAGCAGGATTTGAACACAACACTCCAAGATTAATATCTCTTAGCAACAAACTGTATGCTGAAGTCAAAAAGGATTTCTGTCCCTATGGTACAGTTTGGGATAATCCAACTGATTTAGGTGCACTGGGCCGTATTGAACCGAATCATTGTGCTAGCCTAACAAGATTTCGCTTCCTCTCTTCAAACCGGGTTAGGAGAAGCCTCATGCCAAACATCTGGAACACATTATAGTTATGCAGTATGACTATAACTTGTACTGGAGTTTGTAGAACAACAAAGAAACTGGTTGTTAAGAAAACTGAAAGCTAAATGACTTTTGTCTGACGTGTCACTAGACAGTAATTATAAGAAGCTGATTTGCTGCATGTGTGTAAGAGAAATTAAATTCCTACCTGTAAGAAGGTCGTCTGGAAAGAATCTCCCTGCGTTTCTGGGAGTCTGTGACGCTGTCCACGGATTCCTGTGAATCTTCACTTTCTGCAATAGTGGAGATCTAGGTATAAGAGCACAGTAATGTTACCGTTTTAAACATATTTAAGTAAAAACAGATGTAAAGGTGAGAATATGGCCAGCAAACCCACACCATGAAGTCCTCTTCTATACATGAAAATCTGAAGTGTAAGAAACTGTGGTCTCCTATCTACTCTGAACAAACATGCTCAGAGGAACATGGAACTTTATAAAGCCTGGCCTCTGCTAAAAGGGGATGTCATTGATGCTCTTGGTAGCAGAAGGCAGATATGGGATCCATAGGTGGTGTCTGGCCAGCACTTGCTAACCTGGTTGACTGGTGAATATGAAAACACAATAAAGAAAAAGCAAGTAAAAGTCTTTTCCCCCAAAAAGAAAATAATGTTTTTAAATTTAAAAAACAAACAAGCAAAAACCAAACATGTGTAGATATTGGCAAGGCTATCAGGTGCCTTCACTTGTGGAACATAAATTGCTCAAAGATCTATAGGTACGTCGTCAACATTCAGCATAACCAGGATTTCAGGATTGTGAAACACTTCTTAATATTTCAGCATTCCTACTGCATTCTTGCCTTTAATCTTCTCCTCCTAAATTCCAAGCCCTTTTGTTATCAGTTTCTTATCCTGTTTCACTATGGTTAGAAATTCCTGTGTGTCATCTGAACTCTGGAGGGTTTTACATAACAAACAGCATAAACCTAGCTTTAGTGACTGGAAGTATAGGCAGAAGAAACGACAGAACTTGTAAAGCAGCAAACAGGAATCCTTATCAAGATGATCTAAAAAACCTAGTACTGCTTACACAACTGTATAAACAGTTTTATGAAGTCTATCTGCTGATTATTCTTAATAAGAAATCTCTAAAACTGCAATCCTGGGTGGATGCACAATGGCTCAAGGTGGAAGACAGGAGTACAAGGCAGAGGAAAACCCTGGTATCCCTTTGACTGTTTCCCTCTTTGTTGTTTTTTTAAAAAATATTTCCATACCACTGGAAACAATAGGAGGAAAGATTTAGTTCTGCTTAGGCGTGTGACTAAATTTCTCCCTCATTTGAGGGTAAGTCACACGACCAGGATGCCTCTGGATCAAAGCTGCTACCCCTTTTTCGCCCAGCTGACTTCAGAATTCCAATGTTTGCTGGGCTAGGGCTTTGAAGGATCTGTCACAGAGGTAGATCCCATCTAGCCTATGGCCTATGGGACGCCACCTTGGTGACCTTAGGGGCTGCATCCTACATTTATCTCACATTTTTAAGAACATAAGAAGGGCCCTTCTGGATCAGACCGAAGTTCCAACTAGTTCAGCATTCTGTTTCCAAGAATTGCCAGCTACATGCTTGTAGGAAGAACACACCAGGGCAATCTAAATTGTTCCTATTGCCATAGGTAAAGGTAAAGGTACCCCTGCCCGTACGGGCCAGTCGTGACTGACTCTGGGGTTGCGTGCTCATCTCGCTTAAGAGGCCGGGAGCCAGCGCTGTCTGGAGACACTTCCGGGTCACGTGGCCAGCGTGACGAAGCTGCTTTGGCAAGCCAGCACCAGCGCAGCGCACGGAAACGCCGTTACCTTCCCGCTATAAAGCGGTACCTATTTATCTACTTGCACTTAGGGGTGCTTTCGAACTGCTGGGTGGGCAGGAGCTGGGACCGAACGACGGGAGCTCACCCCGCCGCGGGGATTCGAACCGCCGACCATACGATCGGCAAGTCCTAGGCACTGAGGTTTTACCCACAGCGCCACCCGCGTCCCCTCCTATAGCCATGCTTAATAGCAAATGATTTTGAGAGTACAGTGGTGCCCCGCAAGACGAATGCCTCGCAAGACGGAAAACCCGCTAGATGAAAGGGTTTTCCGTTTGCGATGCGCTTCGCAAGACGAATTTCCCTATGGGCTTGCTTTGCAAGACGAAAACGTCTTGCGAGTCTTGCCATTTCCCCCCCGCTTACCCCCCTTTTTCAAAGCCGCTAAGCCACTAATAGCCTTTTAGCAGCTAAGCCTTTAATAGCCGCTAAGCCGCTAATAGCGCTAATCCGCTTAGCCGCTAATGGGGTTGCATCGCAAGACGAAAAAACCGCTAGACGAAGAGAATCGCGGAACGGATTCTTTTCGTCTTGCGAGGCACCACTGTACTCTGGAACCCGCTTAGGGAAAGAACCATATTAAATACCCCTAATTAAGCAGCATAATGAACTGCTTAAGTCTTTTATTCTAAACCAAGGGTGGGCAGCTGCTTTCTGCTGTAGAGGATACACTAGCTGTTCTAAATCGGTTATTGATTCACGTCAGAATATGAACACCTCTTTCAAGAAAACACCTATGTATGTGCAGGTCTTCCAGTCACCTAAACACACATCCCTTTTCAGCAGAAACTAAATAAAATGCTATTCTTCTGATATGGTGGACTGCTTCAGAATGAAAACTTAGAGTGTGTTTATTTTCCAGCTGCCCCCTTACCCTTGGAAGGCTTCAGATATGAAAAGGAGGAGTTATAAAGCCAGGCCCCATAACTGACCCACAGGGGAATCCTCCTCAGCTGATGCCTCCCAGGTCTGAAATGCTGCCTGTGCTGGCTGTACATGCTCCCTGCTCCCTTCCATGAAAGATGTGGGTCTTGCCAAGTCAGAAGACATCCTCATAGAGATCGGTTTGCAGTTCCCATCTCTGTTAAACCTGCAGTGCTGTCACTGCAGGCGCTCCACCAAGGCCTTGCGTCCTTCACTGGCTAGGCTTTAGGGTTTTTCAGGGTCATTCGGATGGGCCAGATTAGATGCTCCTTGGAACTAAGCTGGAGTCTACCCTGAACACTCTTTCCCCTCATACATACATTTTCAACATCTCCTTTACAAGGCTAACCAAACAGCTTCCGGGTATCCTTCAGCAAGCAGCCTTTTCTCGCTATGATCGTTATCTCAAGAAATACTGTTGTGGCTCAGGCCAGACCATGCCTATGTCCAGTAGAAACCAAATTTTTGTTGCTGTATCAGTGGAGGTGGAAAAGAACAAAAACGAGAGTGCAGCGACTTTAAACGGAAGAGATGGAAATGGAGAGAGAGAGAGCCTGTTTGAACTTTTTAGTCCTGTCCTGAACATGGCAGTTTTGAAGTCATTTTTTCATCTTGCATAGCATGCACTACCTATAAACTATGAAATGGCAAAGGCAAATTGGTATTGTTTAGAATTTCTTTGCAGAAGCTTAAAACGGTGCATGCTGATAATAAAGCTCAGGATACAACAGTTTAGGCAATGTTTCTGTTTTTCAGGAAATAACATGGTTATTTAAAAGGCATTTTCACATACCTGAACTGTCTGGACTTGTGGGGACTGAATAACTGAGGGCTGGGCAGCCTGGATAACACCATGGACTTGAACTGTTTGCCCATTAGGCAGCTGTACTAAGGTCACGGTGGGAGCAGAAGATGTGGCGTGAGCTGCTGCCATAGATACCTAGGAAAGAAAGTAGGAATCATTATGGTAAAACCACAGAACTAATGTCTTAAATCCTTCATTCCTCCCTTTTATGTACTAATAGAGTTAAGGGATGCGGGTGGCGCTGTGGGTAAAAGCCTCAGCGCCTAGGGCTTGCCGATCGAAAGGTCGGCGGTTCGAATCCCCGCGGTGGGGTGCGCTCCCGTTGTTCGGTCCCAGCGCCTGCCAACCTAGCAGTTCGAAAGCACTCCCGGGTGCAAGTAGATAAATAGGGACCGCTTACTAGCGGGAAGGTAAACGGCGTTTCCGTGTGCGGCTCTGGCTCGCCAGAGCAGCGATGTCACGCTGGCCACGTGACCCGGAAGTGTCTCCGGACAGCGCTGGCCCCTGGCCTCGAGTGAGATGGGCGCACAACCCCAGAGTCTGTCAAGACTGGCCCGTACGGGCAGGGGTACCTTTACCTTTTTAGAGTTAACAAATCTTTTCAACACAAGAATCAGGATGTCACAAGGGTTGACAAATTTTTTTATAACAATCATATCATATTTTCTTTTCTTCGAAGATACTAATGAAAAATAAATGACTACACTTACTTTATACACCTCTTTCACTTTTTTCATCTTAAGTATTTATGACAAATAATGAACTGACATGATTACAGATTTCATATTAATATTTATTTATTTTCCATACAACCCTTCTTCCGAGGATCACAGGGCAGTTTACAATATAAAAATACATAACGAAGTAACAAACAAAAGCAATACCTGTCTGACACCTAAAGATAGGTAATGAAGGCGCCAGGTGAGCCTTCCTGGGGAGAGCATTCCACAAATGGGGAGCCTCCGCAGAAAAGGCCCATTCTTGTGTTGCCCCCTTGTGGACCTCTTGCGGAGGAATAGAAAGAAGGGCCTTAGATGATGATCACAGAGTCTGGGTCAATTCATACGGGGAGAGACGGCCCTTGAAGTATTGCGGCCCTGAACCACTGAAGGTTTTACAGGTCAAACCAGCACTTGGGCCTGGAAACTAATTGGCAGCCACTGCAGTTGGGACAGGATCAGTGTTATGTGCTCAGTGAGCAACCTGGCTGCTGAATTCTGCACCAGCTGAAATTTCTGAACCTTCTTCAGAGGCACTTCCATGTATAATGGGAATTTATGTACTAACAAATAGTGCACTAAATTATTTTTCATTAAACCATGGTTTGTTTGAGTGTCTGAACCCTGTCCAGTGGCTTAATTATGATTTATTTACTGACAAGAAGCCACTCTCTGGAGGAACAACTTATTGTTGACTTATGAGCCTTGACTTATATTAACTATGGCTTGCTGTTAGGTGCAAACCCAGGAACATTCCTTAACCATTGTTTTTTTTGGCCACCTATCTAATGCTTATTAAGCTACAAAAGCCCAATGAAAGAACTGATGGCAAAGAAACCAAACATTAATGAAACAAACCACAGTTTGTTGGGGCGTCTGTGAGACAACTCACAGTTAACAAACCACAGCTTTGTTAACAGCAAACCACAGTTATTACACAGCTGTGTAATAACAAATTCATAATTCTATTAATAAGTTGGATTTGTTTATTAAAAAACCTGATTTAGTTGATACTGGTGGTTTTAAATAGGATCTTTTTTGTTCTCCAACCAAAGCATACGTTAATTAAAGGCTGCTTAAGATCAAGCTTTTTGCTCAAGCGTGCAGCTCCTTCTCATCTCCCTTTGTGTCATGCAGCAATTAAATTCAGAAGCTGCCAATGAATGATGGTTTCCTGTTCTATCCAAACTGAGAAACTTACAGTTGCCAGCTTTGGAACAAGCTGTGTTTAGCTTGTTCTGTAGTGAATAAACACAGTTTTCTCTTTTGGATGAAGCAGGAGACTTCCAGGTTTAATTGTGGTCTACCACGAAGGGAAGAGAGACAGGGATGCGCGTAGAGGTAAAAAAACCATGATTCTCTTTTGTGGCACCTCAGTGTTTCTTAGCTGCAATAGTTGTAACAAATCATAACAACCTTTAAACCTTTTAGATTCTGTAAGAGATGTTAAAGTTACTCTTATAAACATTTGCTTAAGGACACAACAGATCAGTCGAGAACAACTTTGTACCTGCGCTAACGTTGCGATTTGTGGCTGGGCCTGTACTGTCATTTGTTGGTTTTCTGCCTCTGTAACAGCTGCATCGCCACTCTGTTGGTTCTCTGCGCCAGATTCCATGGTCATTTAGTTACCTACAACGGTAATGATTTGCATTACTATTACAGGGCAGGTGTACTTCTTGCCATATTTAAGTTTCAATTACAGAATTTGTATTGCACAATAAATTCCTGATTATCTGCCAGAAATCTTATGTTATGCTGTAAGTTCCCTCTCATTTACATAATGATTGCTTTTGACATAAAGTAACAATGATTACAGTTCTTGTCGCAAATAATGCAAACTAATCGGGAAGTACAAACAATAGCACAGGGACTGCCAACCCAGCATCCAACGGGGGAAGGAGCCATCTATTATAGCCCACAGAAGGCTCTTCTCAAAGCTAATTGTGGTGCAGGAGGGGGGGGGCTATTTCAGGGATGGTCACAGCTGTGGAAGGGTTAACTCTCACCTCTTCAGCTGCAACTCCTAGCCACTGAAAACATCACATATCACGGTTGGGGAGTGAATGTGTTAGGTTGTATGTGTGTTTGGTGAACCCAAGTTTATCAGGTTTCCAGATGAGTTCACAGCACCCAAAAAGATGGGCAGCTCCTGCTGTAATACAACTCTGCACTTTTACTCAGAAATACACCCAGCAACGTTTACTCCCTAGTAAGTGTGTTTAAGATTGTTTCCCCAAAAGCAGAACACTTAACATGGCTGGTCATAATAAAGAGTGAAGTAATGTTAAGTACCAAAATACTTTACAGCATATATGGCAAAAATATATCTGGAAAGTTTGAGTTACAGCTAATGCCAGCTTAAGCCTTTCTGGCCTGAGCTTTACAATTGAAACGATGATTCTCTATGACTCTATCCCTAACAAGCGCTTGCCTCCTTTCACAGCATCCACCTTCATGCAATATCTGATGGACCCCAAAATTAAATGGAATGATCTATGAGCCACAGGATTAGATAGGAAGTGGTTTTGATGAACTGTTTTTAATATTTAGCAAACCTAAAGGTTTGTGATCTAGCTGGAATGTACATTAGTCCACTATGAACAACAGAATTTCACTGTGCACATTAGCCATTGTAGGAAAGATGAGTGGGTCTTGTAACCAGATGTTAAGAGTGTTTCCCCCTGAAATAAAAGTGAAACCAAACTTGGGAGGGAGAAATGGTGTCAGAAACATCTCTGCCAGTTAGCAAGAAGCATTTTCACTGAAAGTGTGTTGAGATTTGAGGTGATCAGCAGCTAACCAAGGAAATTTGTTGAAAAGTACATTAAAAAGTGCATATTGTTGGCAGTGTTATAGTTTCTTGATACCACCTTATTATTTGATTGTAAGCTCCACCTACGTGAACAATGAAGAACATGTCCCTCAAATAAAAACAACTTTTATGAAGGAAAAGAGAATGTCCCCCCCATGTATCTATCTCTTAGGCTAACGTATAGATCACAAAGCATTCTTTATACAATATGAATTTCACTTTGTGTGTTTGTATTAGCACTGCACCTGAAATGTAAAAGTGAAATGACTGCCGCACAAGTATTAATATACAAACTAAGGCATTTGATTTACTTTCCTGAATGATGTCTGCTCCTTCAACTTGCTCTCACACAGATGGCCACCTCCAGTCCACCTGGCTGTGAATGGGAACATGATCCACTGGGTTGAGGAAATCTTTGATTCTCTTGTTTAAATCTCAGAAACTCAACTTGCATATAAGAAATGTTTTCAGCCCTCATGGTTGCAAAGGATTATGAAAACACCACAAGGATGTATTCCTGCCTGTGCCCACCCTTCTCTTGGTGTAACCTGACCTTCCGTCCCTATGAAGTGCTTAGAACAGAAAAAGCTATTTAAGTCCCTGAGTATCCTTTCACCAAGTCTGCCTATGTACTCTGAATCCTTGTCTGGTTATCTTTTGCAAAGGCTGTCACTGGCTTTTTCAGAAAACCTCCAAACCGTGCTCCCCTGTCCTGCATAGTGCCTCACTTTTAATGCAAACTAGGAAGGCCATGCAATGATTCATTAATCCCTCCAAACCAGAAATGGAAACCATAGTTTAAATAGTTTTCTAATTTAGATGTCATGGCAAACTATGATTTGTGCTGAAGAGGAAATTGCAACAGTAATTTTGTTAATGGTTTATTTTTTAACTTTTTAATTTTTTAATTCTTATATTTTGTTTAAGAATGTTGGTTGAAAAGTGGGCTGTGAATTCATAAATTAAAATAAATTTTGATTTGCACTTGGATCAAGAGACTTAAGGACAGATCACCAGAGTCAAATACATGGTTCTTACCTTTGTAACGCAAGAACTGAATTTCGAAACCACACATTCTTGGGCAAGGCAAGTTCTAAAAATGTTAATGAGAAAAGGAAACCCTGAAATATGTTTAACACACTTTTTACTGCATGATGTGCATTAACAGTAGAACATTTTACTCCTGAAATTATTTGGAATATGTTATTGCTCATTTTCCCCCAATTCTCTGATAATGAGGGAGAGAAAAAATGCAGGGGGGAAAATATTGTGGGGAAGTTGTTTGTTGCCATCACTTCATTTCAGATTATTTCATATTTCTAGGTTGGCATTATGCAAGAGGCACAGGATTTGACCCTTCCAAAATTTTGAGGCGATGCAACTTTTCCAGCTCCACTTTTTGAGGTGTGGCAACCAGAACTGTATAGTTATGATATGGGCAGATTTTTATTTTTGAATCTCTTTCCTAATGATAAATAGTTCAGCTACATCTGTGAAATTCTGCTCACTCACTTGGTCTCCCCTGCGTCAGAGGATGGCTGCCCCTTTGGGGTTTTAAGATCCAAGCGCTGAGAATGCCTCTGTGCCTCTGGCAGTTGCACAGAAGAATTACACCAACGTGGTTTTTCTGTTGTGATGGGCAAAAGCATACTTTTCCATCCCTCGCAGGGAAAAGGTACTGGAGCCTCAAAGGCTGTAAAAATCCCCTAGGCCTTATATGTTGTTTGCTTCACATGCATCTCCTACTTGCCCACCCCGCCGACTATCGTTTTATCACCAACTGTTTCCTTAGGCCCCTACTTTCTCCGGTATCTTAACCTCTATCAGCTCTCACTTGCTTCGCCTTCCCTGTCTGCTCACCACTCTCCCCTCTCCTCTTCCTGCCAACAATACGTATAAAATTCTCATTTCTGTAGGCCATGCTAGCTTTCCCCACAGATCTCACTTTATCAGACCCTTCTCCTTTCCTATCCCTCTTTCCTTATCTCTTTTTCCATTACACTTGTGCTCTGCCCTGCCCTTTTCCTCCAGCTACTGTGTCTCTGGATTCTCTCATCTTTAGTTTGTCTACTTCCTGGTTGCTATGTAGGTAAGCCATGCTATGTTTTTTTCTTAGTAAGAAAAACTATTGACAACCCACGAAGCTGGGTTGCCATTCTATGGTGGACAACTTCCCACAGCAGATATGATCTTTCTGTGTCTCTAAACAAGGTGTGAGGCCCCTGAAGGTTTAATTGAACCTGCCAGGTCTCCCCATTGGACCAACAAGACTGTTTCCAGCAAGCCATGTCCAGCTGGCCATATTTGACACCAGGGACGGGTCAAGTAGAAATGTGGCTCCCTGCTGAAAGCAGAGTTTGCACCTAATCGGTGGTGCTCACAAGTGCCCGTAGCATTTTGCAAATGCCAATGACAGGCTGATTGCTGGAGCCTGAAAACCTTTCTGCCTTTGCAAGAACAGCCATCATGGCAGTGCTTGCAAAGATACACAGCTTTGCAAGCACCAACCACCAGCTGGTCCTTGGTGCTTGCAAAGTGCAAAGCCTTTGCCCAGTTTGATTTAAAATCTCACCAACAAAGAAAAATGGGTTAGATGACACAATTGTGATGTCAGGTGGCTGCCAGGTGAGCAGCCCTGCTCACCTGTCAGATTTGGCCTGCAGCGAATGCAAAAGGTAAGAAGGAATTGACGAAGCCTTCCTCCTGACATTCAAAAGCTCAGTGTTGTTTCCAAGGTTGCCCTTAAATATAATGCAGTGTTATATCTGGGTTAAAACAAGGTTCACTCCTTAGCTAGGATTTGAAACCAAAATTAAGAGCTGGTTGCAGAGCAGCCAAGTGAAGAACTGGGAGATTATGCACTTAAGAAGGGATCTGATGTAGCTGGCCATGTTAGAACTGAAGTGGCAAACATTTTGGAAAAATAACTTCTATGCACAGACTATTAAAAGTCTGGTAAGAAATTAAAACCCAAATGTGCCTGGTAATTTGTATGTATGTAATATATGCATTATGGGACGCGGGTGGCGCTGTGGGTAAAAGCCTCAGCGCCTAGGGCTTGCCGATCGAAAGGTCAGCAGTTCGAATCCCCGCGGCGGGGTGCGCTCCCGTTGCTCGGTCCCAGCGCCTGCCAACCTAGCAGTTCAAAAGCACTCCCGGGTGCAAGTAGATAAATAGGGACCGCTTACTAGCGGGAAGGTAAACGGCGTTTCCGTGTGCGGCTCTGGCTCGCCAGATGCAGCTTGTCACGCTGGCCACGTGACCCGGAAGTGTCTCCGGACAGCGCTGGCCCCCGGCCTCTTGAGTGAGATGGGCGCACAACCCTAGAGTCTGTCAAGACTGGCCCCTACGGGCAGGGGTACCTTTACCTTTAATATATGCATTATCAAATTAAAATAAAGGTGTGGTTTTTTTAAAAAAAATGTGGCTTTCCAGTTATTGCCAGACTACTCCTCCCATAACCCCTACAATTGGTCATGCTAGCTGGGGTTAACAATAATAATAATATTTTTTTATTTATACCCCGCCCAGAACCGGGCTCAGGGCAGCTAACACCCAATAAAATTACAATAAAATGTAAAAGAAAAAGAAATAAACAATTAAAATACGGGTTAAAATAAAATTTAAAATGCAGCCTCATTTTAGTAGTAGCCCATAAATCAAAACCATAAGGGGAGAGAAAACATAAGGGTCAGACTGAGTCCAAACCAAAGGCCAGGCGGAACAGCTCAGTCTTGCAGGCCCTGCAGAAAGATGTCAAATCCCGCAAGGCCCTGGTCTCTTGTGACAGAGCGTTCCACCAAGTCGGGGCCAGTACTGAAAAGGCCCTGGCCCTAGTTGAGACCAATCTAACCACCTTGCAGCTCGGGACCTCCAAAGTGTTGTTATTTGTGGACCTTAAGGTCCTCCGCGGGGCATACCAGGAGAGGCGGTCCCGTAGGTACGAGGGTCCTAGGCCGCATAAGGCTTTAAAGGTCAAAACCAGCACCTTAAACCTGACCCTGTACTACACCAGGAGCCACTGCAGCTGGTAAAGCATTGGATGAATGTGATCCTGCGGCAAGGACCCCATAAGGAGCCTCGCCGCAGCATTCTGCACCCACTGGAGTTTCTGGTTCAGCTCCAAGGGCAACCCCGTATAGAGTGAGTTACAATAATCAAGCCTGGAGGTGACTGTCACATTGATCAATGTGGCCAGATCAGGGCGAGAAAGGTAAGGGACCAACTGCTTGATATGGCGGAGATGGGAAAATGCCACCTTTGCTGTGGCTGCAACCTGCGCCTTTATGGAAAGGGAGGTGCAGGTTACACCCAACCTCTTGACAGAAGGCGCCGGCACTAATTGAGCCCCCTCAAGAGATGGGAGTTGGCCCCCCAACCCCATGTCGTCCCAACCCAGCCAGAGGACCTCTGTCTTTGAAGGATTTAACTTCAACCGGCTCCCACACAGCCATCCAGCCACAGCTTCCAAGCATCTGGTCAGTGTGTCCAGGGCCAAGTCAGGGCGGCCGTCCATCAACAGATAAAGCTGGGTGTCATCAGCATATTGATGACAACCCAGCCCAAAACTCCGGACAATCTGGGCAAGGGGGCGCATAAAGATAAGATTTGGAAACCGGGGGGGGGGGGGAGCACAGGTTCCCCATTCCTGTGCTAAAGTATGACAGAGTCACCGCTTTCCTCTTTGACTACCCAGTGGAAGAGGATCAGGGAAGGATAAATAATTCCAGCCCCACTCTTCATCTCCCATTCATCACCGAGGCAACTGCCCATGACACATCTTTTCCCAACCTGGCCGTTCCCCCAAACGAAAACTAACCAACCAAAGAAAGCCAAAGAGGAAAAACTACCCCCATATCCAACCAGGACTTGTGTTCAGGATTTGGGTGGGGAAAGAAACAATGTTCAGCTTTGCTTCACCCCCACTCCCACTTGTCTCCTGTGGGGGGAAGGCACTGGAAAAGCCATCCTACCCTCAGAACCTCAGGAGAAACATTGCTCCCCCTCATCTTCTTGGCTGTAGCCAATATCAGGGGCAATAGGCAGTGCTACAGGATGTCAATGGCAGAACTTTACCTGTCCCTGTGGAATGAACAATAGCTATTATGTGGAAGATGGTCAGGGTACATTCAAGAACATTAGGATAGGGGGCTGGTAACCCCAGCTATTATTAAAGCTTGTTCCTATCTGTACACCTTGAACCTGGATTCATCCCTTGGTGACACTTAAGTGGAACAGAATGTTGGGAACTGACTTTCATAAATCAGTTTTATAATCCTAGCGTGGTTACTCATTAGCAGCACACTGCCATCATTTTGACAGGTACTTGATGGTGCACCATGGTCCTAGTTTATACTGTTGATTATTAAAAGCAAAATGAAGACCTAGAATTGCTGTCTCAATCCGGCCAAGAGCACATGAGATGACTGGATTACAAGCCTGATGAGAAGTTAGTAGCCATTCTCGTTAATGGATGAATTGGAAAGTAATAAACATAAATAATTTCTCTTTAATCGTCCCCACCTCTAAGGTTCAGAGTACAGGCGGAAACATTCACATCCTCCTTCAGTGATACACTACAAGCTAAAGGAGTGTTCATCACATTATTACTCTTCTGACATACTGTTTAATCTTGTTTCCAGACAGAGATTTCTCTGAATGCAAAACAGACCCATAAATCACACACAGGCAGCATCAGTTTCTGTGCTGATCACTGCCAATCCAGGAGGCAGGCCAGCAACTATCAAGGGCAGCATAGCCCAAAACTGGTGTAATGAACCATACAGTGGTGCCCCGCAAGACGAAAAACCCGCTAGACGAAAGGGTTTTCCGTTTCGGAGGCGCTTCGCAAGACGAATTTCCCTATGGGCTTGCTTTGCAAGACGAAAACGTCTTGCAAGTCTCGCCATTTTTTTTGCCCCCCCCCCCTTTTCAAAGCCGCTAAGCCGTTAATAGCCTTTTAACAGCTTAGCCGCTAAGCCTTTAATAGCCGCTAAGCCGCTAAATCGCTAATAGCGCTAAGCCGCTAATGGGGTTGCTTCGCAAGACGAAAAAAACGCTAGACGAAGAGAATCGCGGAACGGATTCTTTTCG